TCACGCGCTCCTCCGCGCCCCTCGCAGGGCCCGAGCCCGGCGCAGGTGTCCGCGCCCGGGTCGCCGCGAGCCGCGCCTCACTAGTCGGTGGCGCGGGAGCCCCGCACACCCCGGGCCGGCGCCGCTCCCGCGAGTCACCCCGAGCCCGGCGACGCCGGGGCCGCCTGGGACACCGTCTCTCTCCTGCGCCCCCAGCCGCCCCCTTGGCGGAGCCAGGTCCCCGGGGCGCACACCGGCAGGACCCCCAGCCCCGCAACCAGGCCCGCGTCTCCTTCCATAAACAAAAGCGAGCGAGACCAGCCCGCGCGCCGCCCGCCGCCGCGTCGCCACCCGCGCGCAGGGCCCGGCCGCCCCCGCCGCCGCGCGGGCCGCTCCGGGACCGGCGCTCCGACGCGCGACCCTGAGTCCTCGCGCGGCCGCAACCCTCCACCCCCTCCCCGGGCGCCTGCAGAAGCCGGGGTCTGACGCCGCGCCCCGCCGGGTCCGCGTGCCCTCCCGGGACGGAGCCGCGCGCCGGGCGCCCGCGGGGCCCGCTCTCACCGCTGCGCGCAGGGGCCGGCGCGGCCGGCGGCGACTGCTCGGGCCGGCCGCGGCTCCTCGGGCGCGGCCGGCGCGGCTGGCGAGGGCTGGTGCGGGCGCGCTGGCGGGGCGCGGGCGGCGGGCGTCAGGCCGGGCGCGGGCGGGGGCTGCGGGTTCTCGGGGCCGGGCTACCGCGCGCTCGTCGGCCGCCGGAGGAAGTAAGCGGCCGGCCCCTGCGCGCCGCGCTCTTCAGCAGCGGGGGGGGCGCGCGGGGGAGGGAGAGGGGAGGAGGGAGAGGGCGCGCGGCGGCGGAGCCTGCTCCTTCCGGCCGGGTGCTCCGCGCCGCGATCATCCGGATAGTTGACATACGGTTGCGCCTTAATATTTCTGGGTAGCTGAAGGCCTACAGGTATCACAATTGCATGGGTCAGAGGCGGAATCTAAACTGCTGAAACAGCCAGGTCCCGGGGGATTGATAGTTCTTGGAGATTGGATTGCTTCTGATGGCTTCTTGGTGTATTTTCTGGCTGGGATCAAAGAACACAGATAGGTCAAGAAGGAGTTCCATAAATGGAATACAGATCCATAGTACGTTACCATGGAGACATGAACAGTATGCTACTATTTTTTAAACGGTAGCAGAAAATACTGACTCATCTGGGCTGCAATTTCAGCTAATATAGGGTCTTTTTCTCCCGGGCTACTCACACAACCCTTGCTAGTGTCTGAGAAGCTGGGTGCAGACAGCCATTCCCAGAAGCTCAGCTGCCCAAAGCAACTGCCTTGTGCCAGAGCACCAGCTGTCCTGCCTGCCTGGCTTGGTGCTAGATGCTTAGGGGCATCTAGCACGGAGACATCTTTTCTCCTTGCAGGGCTGGCAAAGGCTGGGGGCTGGGAGGCAGCTCTTTGCTTATGCTGGGCAGTTTCTAACCTAGATGAGCTGCAAGCCATCAAGATTGGAGCGCAGGAGTTTGAAGACAACCCGTGCCTGACAACAGAGCCTTCCTCTCTTCCCTAACCTCGGGCCTCCTCTGCAGAGTGATGGATGGATGCCTGTGGAACCTGTGCCATTCCGCCTGTGTGGTTAGACACAGAACCAAATCTGTAAAGAATTTATCAGAATGTTGAGCACATGGCAGAGAGGGGCTCAAAATGATATAGCCATTACGTTTCTTTTTCTGAGCTCTCTTCTGGGAGCTTTTTATGGAAAACTCTTTGAAAAAACTATCATATACATGAAAAAAAAATATCCCTACTGTCTCAGGTTTACATGTGGGAAACCCTATGGAAAACGATCATGGTCCGAGGTCCAAATGGCAGAGCCGAGAGGGGTGGGAGGCTTCTGGCCTGTGTGTCACAGTCACCGTGAGCCTGGACTCCCACGCGGGGACCTATTCCTCCCGCTGCCTCTTCCGAGGAGGCCTGGCCTCGCCCCGGCAGCCCCCTGCCCTAGGTGCTGTTCTGCGGCCAACCCATCTCTGCAGGTGCGCAGTGACACGAATAATGAAAGGGCTTATCCTGGTTCTGCGGCCCTATCAGAGTTTCTTACACTTTTCTTTTGCCTGTTATTGGTTGATTTCCTAGTTACTCACGAGAGTTAAGACCCAGCCTGGCTGAAGCCTGTGATTATTCATTGACTATTATGGCGCGATTCACAGGGAACACTGAGCTTCACGGAAAATTAAACCCAATAAAAGCACAGCCCGTGTGGTTCAAGATCAAAAGTCGAAGGTGTCAGAAGGAAATTAAAAATCAGGAGGCACAGGGGTGGGGTGATAAGCTACACTATGGCAGACTGAGTTTAACAGCAATTTTAACTCTCTTCCCTTAAGAAAGAGAGAAGCTCACGGAAGAGGGGAGGAAAAGGAGGTGATAGTAGGCTGTATGTGTCGGAAATACAAACTATCTGGAGAGCAAAATGCAGATCAAGAGCCATTTAGAATCCAGACATAATTATGAAAAACGATTAGCTTACCAAGTAAGTCATCCGTAAAAAAAAAAAACAAACACAAAAACATCTCCTTAGAAACACGTCTGTATTTACCTTGAAATCCAAATCAATAGTCGACATACAGTTTGTGGTGGTTTCCAGTTGCAAGTTAAATAGACGTCATTTAGTCTGGGGCATGTCATTTATTCATTAGCAAATGCGGGTGCTGGGAGAACAGAGGTAAGTATAGCTGAGTCCCTGCCCTTAAAGTAGAAGTGAACAAACAGTGCACAGGACTGCACAAACTCACACTCGCGGTGAGACTTTGGCAGTTGTGCGTGTGGGCAACGGGAGAGGAAAGGAATCACTTGGAGACGGAAATCGTTTCATTCTCGGATAAACTGTGCCTGTGTTTGCCGTGCTGACCATTCATGGCGGTGTCTGGCAGTGGTGGCTGTTCCACTGGTGCATGTTAAACTTGAGAGATTGATAACGCCACCTACCCCGACCTCTAAATCTGACCAACCTTGCCCATTTGCAGGCTGGCACAGGTACCAGCAATCCGAGGCCAGTGTGGGGCCATCAAGCTGCCTGTCATCAAGGCAGTCCCCAACTATGCAAGAGCAGGCAGTGCGCAGTCTCTTCGTTAAGACTCCTCAGAATAGCAGATGTGATACTCTCTGGGGGTGGGGGAAGTGGTCAACAACTTTTCCTAATGTTCCTTTATAATGTCCTCTGCTTGTTGCCAGCCTCTTTGGACCCTTGGGCTCCCTGTGGCATGAAAACACAATAACCAGATCGATCCTGCTATCTTGACCTCTTAAGGGCAGCTATGGGGCCAGGCCGCCGGGGGCCAGACCCCAGCCCAGCCTTCCGTAGCAGCCACCTGCAAACCCCTCTGGGCCTCCTCGGTTTGCTAAGTGCTTAGAACAAGGCTGGCTCATAATTAAGTCTCCGGGATGATGGATAAGCAGCAGGTCCCCTGACCCCAGGTAGGCTTCCTCCTGCATCCCCTGCCTGTGGTCCCTGCCTGGCCCAAACTCTAAGTAAGGTTATGGTTCACAAGGAATAAGGTCAAGTGATGTCAGGTGGAGCAATGGTTTCTTTGACTATAAATTTCTTGCCTTTGGGCGTAAGAAACCAGGGAATGAAACACTGAATTTTAAAACTGGGAAAAATTTTAGGGAGTTGGTAACTGAGACCAAGTCCTGCTTTTATAGATAAGGAAACTGAGGCCCAAGGTGGATCACTGCGTGCCCAGGGTCATGTGGCTATTTCCTGATGAGGCTGGGACCACACTCTAGGCCTCCTGCCCCCTTGCCCACCACGACACAGTCATTTTCCCTTATAAGGCAGTACTCTTGGAGTATATCAACCACCTTGAAAATCCACCATGATATTAAACTGCACGGTGACGTGCTTTGGGCAAGTCTGAACAGCCAAATAGTAAGAGGGACCCGTTGTATCTGTGAAATTGATAATCCCTAAATAAATGTGTCTGAACTGAGTCAGACCTGTGCAGGTATATGATTTTGTAGTGGTGTTTTTTTTCTGAATCATAAGATGATTCCCACAGTAGGCACTGAACTGAATAATGCTCAGAGGATTGACTTGACTATTTATTTTGCAAGCTGCAAAACAGAACCACTAGTCTTTGAACAAACTAAGAGTTAGTCATTATTGTGCCAGTCAGTCTAGCAAATGATTAAGTAAGGTTAACTCACATGCCGCTTTTGGCGACAAAATAAAAGGTGGATTAAAGTGTTAATGCAAAATAATGTAACAGACAGACTTAAGCAGGTATGTGAATAGGTCATTCGGAAATTTGAGTATTTAGGTGACATTGATTCTTTGGAGGAATGGCTTTCCAATTGCTGCAAGACTCTTCCCCTACGTCTTCACATTTGCAGTTTTTGGTCTATGTCTATTTCAGACCAGCTAAGATATCAGCACGTCTTGCCTATAGCTGTGATGTGAAGCCCCCTGGCCTCATGTGCTCTGCTCTAGGCTAACACTGTCTTTACTGCTAAATGCTGAGCCTCACCCCCTCGGACATGCCCATTTGGTGCAGATTGAGGAGTGGGAAGAGTGCCAGCATCCCACTCTTGACTCTCAAGGTAGAGGACTACCAACCCTCATCTTCTGGAAGATTCTCACAGACTGCTATGCAAGTCTCAAGTCTGCTCGCAGACTTGCTCCAGTTTTCCAAGCAAAGAAACACTCCTCAGAGCATAAGCGCTTGGTTCAATGCTCTGCTGTGGCTGTCTTGGAAGTCATACTAAGTTATGCACAAGAGGCCTATTTTCATTTTGCACCAGGCCTCACAAACTCTGCAGTTGGTCCTGGGCGGGGTATTGCTCCTTGTGCAGGGAGCCCGTGGGCTCTGCCCACACATGACACATCCAGGACTGTGAGTCGTCAGCCCCAGGGCCATAGTGTCAGGTTCATTCAGTCTCTTCACATTATCCTTTCTTCTTTGACAGTGGGAGTTGGAAGAGCATGTTTAAAAGGCTTTCCTGGCTGGGTTTAAATACTTCTAGTTGTGATCATTAACATTTCTTAGATGTCACAGAAGAACATGGTGTTTGTGTTTGTGTGGTATATGTGTATTTATGTGTATACGTGTAACGCACACGTATAAACACCTTTATTGCCCATGTTTTGTTAACAGCGAGTGTTACAGCAGGTGGTCCCAAGGACAAACTGAGCGGCACACTATTCACGGAGGGCTCAGAGGGGTCTTGCCACCAAATTCTAAGCCCGGCTACCGAATTTTTTCCCACTTTTATTAAGTTGGGGTGGTCCAAGGGATGGGGCCTCAGGTGGCTAATGAGCCAGGTAATAGGTTAATTGATGTGCCAGGTAATAGGTTAGTTGGAGCACCAGTTAACAGGTTTAGTATTATGCTGATGGGCCAGGTAAGAGATTAGTTGTTGCACTAGGTAACAGGTTTAGTGTTATGCTGATGGGCCAGGTAATAGGTTAATATTATGCTGATGCAGGTCTTCCATGAGGGGTGGGGGTCTCAGGTAGCTGAAGCACCAAGTAACAGATGGGGTTTTCCTTATCAGTATTAGTTCATTCCTGCTGTTACAACAAAATACCTTAGACTGAGTAATTTATAAAT